TAACAAAATTGTCAAGCTACAAAGGACCTCTGTGGTGTTGATATTTGCATAAGATCCTATATTTTAAATATAAATGGGAGCCTTGTATTTTGAAATCCTGTAGTGTTTGGGGTTTTTTCTTCTCTCAATTTTCATGTTTAAAATATGAAATTCCTTGTGCATGTGTACTTTGAACAGAGGATATGATAGTGCCTTCCTAAAATCATAACATGCAGATAGTTGTTAATATCAACCATGGTTTGGGGTTGTTTTTTTTTCCCCTTTTGGTAAACATTTTCAGGTTCCCCCAATCATGTATTTCTCAAAAATGTTACACTTCCAATGTGGAAAAGTGCTGCTAAAAGAAAGTAACTGCTAAGAAAATTTATGTATTAGCATACGTCTTGAACAGTGTTAAACCTGACTGCATGTGATTGTTACTTTGGTTTGCCGATTTGCTCCTAGCTTGATTATACATTATTTTGTTAAACTGCTATTGCAAAAAAACTGGTGCATGCTCTAAAACACTCACTTAAAATTTAGAGATAAAAAGTGTTTATATCCCCAAACTGGATGAATTCTGTTTCCTGATTGACAGAGAATGCATGGTGTTATTTTTATGGTGTATTAGGTGGGAAAGGTATGAATCTTCCTGTATATTTGCTCCCAACAGAATGTTCTGTATTTGCATCTTAGGATATTATGATCTATGAACTCAGGGAGGGGTGATGAACATACATTGCATTGAAAGAACATCTTATAGAGATTCAATTTTCAACTCTCACCTGAGAGTAAGAATCAACTGCAGATGTAAATCAGTGAAGAAAAAAAAATAAGACATTAAAAAAAAAAAGTAAAGAATTGTGAAATCTATATGAAAGGCACAAGGAGAAGGTTAACACAGGAACTGAATGTCTAATATAGAATAATAAAAGGAAAATTTTACAAGGTAAATTTTATAAGGTGATACCCACAAATGAAACAGCAGCACTAGCAAAGTAATTCAGCAAGTGTAGCAAGATAAGTCTCATAAACAAGTTGATCCTTTCTGAAGGTCTGATCCTACATATGTTAAAAGGGCAAAATGCCTGCTGACTTATAGAAAGTCTGAACAACTTAGCAGTTCTTTGTGTATATTTGGTCTCCCTAAGATACTCAGTTGTGGTGCAGTAGTATTTCTGCCTAAATGAATGTGTTCTTTCTTCTGGGGTTTTGTTAGTTGTCTAGAGATGTCACAGATTTGAAAAGAAGATACAAAATCTGAAAGTGAATTTCTGAGTATCTCATCCTGAGCCTGTGAGCATATTTAGTGATACACCTAAATTTTCAGCATTAATCTAAAAGTTGCTCTATCTTTGTTAATACTATGCAACAGCTGTAGAAAAGTATAAAGGCTGTTTTTTCTGTATGCTGTTTCTGCAATCAAGAGAACCATAATCAGGGCATACATACATCAGGTCTTTGGAGGATTTTCATTATAGTTAGCAGGGGCTTTTATCTTTGACAAAGATTTGTAAGAACTCGAGAGACTTAACTGACATCAACCACTGAATTTCCATCTAAGTTTTTAAAAAGTGGGGGCAGCAGTCACTATGAAAAACAACACTGTTGTGGATGGTAAAGCAAGATACAGGATAAGTAAAGTTTTGAGGCCTTTGTTTCTTTGATTTTAATCTTGTTCATTTTGGGGACTTTTGAAGACCAGAAGCAGGCCTTGTCTTGTAGACGCCTTTACCTCCAAGCTTCTTGTTAAATCAGCGACGAGTCAAGGTGTCTGCAAAACTTGACCTGCTTCTTCAGAGTCTGATTATGACTTTTGGGTTTACATTTATGCACAGGCAGAATAGAGTCTGCTGTAGACCCAGGGCAGCAGTGATACTGCTTCAGCCAGGCCAGATCCCAGGAAGTGTGGGCTGGTGGCTGATTCTGGGACAGGTGAAAGCAGTCCGTTTCTCCAGAAAAAGCACTTCTGTTACAACTTCTTTCCACCCCTCTCTTCCTTTGCTAGAACAAAACCCTGATCCTTGTCAGAGTAGTCTTGCATTTTATCCACACTGAGCTGATTCTAGGCAAGGTGTAGCTGCCTTTAATTTAAGAGGAGAGTCAAATATGAAAGAGAAAAGAATAAGTGTCATCAAGTTAAAAACACACACAAAGGTTGCAGGGCCATCTCCAAACTTCACTGGTACATGAATGCTTTCTCATACACTCCGGCTGCGTGCCTTCTGGAAACCTCTGTGCTCACTGAAGATTTAATGTTGCTGAGTGAGGCAAATGATTTTCTGAATATATTTATTTTAATAGATTTTTAATAATCACTATGGCTTTGCTGTTCCAATAGCTAGATAGAAGGGAGATCTCGGAGACAAAGTTAGCCATAGCGAGAAGAGCCACACTTCAGTCAGTAAGTCTGGCTGCCAGAAGGATTTATTTAAGCAAGTAACGTACTGGTAGGAGATGGGTCTGCTTCAGTTTTACATTAAACTTACTGCGTGCAAATGGTCTGCTAAAGCTTGACCCTTTTACAGTACATGAAGGTGGCTGTAGTCAAGTTCCATGTAAAAGCTACTCTAAAGCTTTTTGTTTTGCTTTTAGTTGAACTGGGTAACACTGACCAAACAAGCTTATTTGTGAATGTTTAAGTCATAGATTTGTCTCATTCTCATATTCTGACTAAGGCACTTCTGTGTTCATCGTGGTAAAATTCGAAAGGAAGTAACAGTCTGCTAGAAAGATAATTTGAGAAGCGAATCAGAGTGACTCGAAAAAGCACGTAGGTGTTAGGGTGACAGCTAGTTTCAGTTCATATAAATAGTTATTTTGATAACAAGACAAAAGAGAGAATATAAAAGTTTTCAGATAATTTTAAAACAAACACTATTCCCATTGAACTGTCTTGCAAAGGAGAGAAAGGGAAAAGAAAGCAATCTACATTACAATGAAGTTCTTGTTTTCAGCAGTATTAGTGTTGTAGGGTCTTTTGCAATCCCCCATATAATGTGTCAAGACCTAGCAGCATACTCTGTGACAGTACTTAAAAGTATGCTATATCAGTATACAATGACATTTTTGCTTTTTCATTTGAATATATTTCCAGTATTTTCTCTAACTTGTTTTTTTACTCTTTTTCTCACAAGGCACCAGATTTTGGTTTTGAACTGTGTGTATTCTCTGTTAAAATGTGATGTTTTCCTTGTGTCTTCCTAACACCGGATTTAGCATGATTTGTGCATGGGATGTTTCAATATGCTAATAATGTTATTGCATTTTAACTGATGCAGTTTTATGTAAAGGCCTGTATGTGTCTTACTACTCATTTCTCAAGGAGATATATACTAGCAATTAAACAAAAGCAATACTTGTAAAATGTTGCTATATATCTAAGTTAATGTAATCATAGTCTGGTTTGGGTCAGAAGGGACCTTAAAGATCATATGGTTCCAACCCCTCTGCCATGGGCAGGGACACCTTCCACTAGACCAGGTTGCTCAAAGCCCTGTGCAGCCTGTCCTTGAATGCTTTCAGGGCAATAGATAAGTGGGTGATCCTATTTATCTGTGTTTGTAACAGATCTTGTAAGATGATACTTCTATTGTAAAATTATAACTTCAGAACCATAAGAAAAAATAAAAATAAGGCAAACATTTGATACAAATTAAAGATTTTCATGTGTTGTAACTTTTACAAGTACTAGGTCGGACAAAACTGCTGTAATTGTATTTAAAGCTCACTGTATTTCATTTGCTGACTTTGAGAGTCACTTTGAGAAAACGCTTGAAGTCCCTTTCATGGACCTATAATATATTAAATATTTTCTTAAAATTTAAATGTGCATGTTAATGAGAAATGAGTGGGAAATCTATAATGCAAACCTGTCTTTTGAATATGCGGTTTTGCCTACAGATTAGCATATGAATTTGACCAAGCTAAAAGTAGTCGTGGACCTGAGCCACTTCTCTTGGCAAAAGTATTCTTCTTGTCTTGGGACAGAGGGAAATGGGAGCCACCATGAATTCATGTACTACTTTAAACAGTCTGAATTTCCTTCTGAGCAGAGCCAGCATTTAATTTGTATTTGTTTCCAGGGCAAAGATCATGTGGCTGTTGGTCCTCTGGCCTGTACAGTGATAATCCATTTGCTATTAACTGGACTTTGGTTAAAAAATATTGCACGTTTAATAAGAATCATAAGGCAGACTGGATCTCCAGTACATGGTGCTGCAACAGAAAGATAATAGACTACAAGAGAGATTAATAAGACTTTTGAGTTGCAAAAGCGTTAAGTCAGTTTAAATCTATTGGTTTAGCCACTCAAAACTGCTAATGCATTAATCTTGAGCTGTGGTGTGTGAGCACAGCCGTTGCTGGCGTGCATTAAGACATCTACGTGATCACCTTGTGCTTAGCTCTTTTTCAGACTGAGTTAGCAGTAGCAGTCCCCTAAGCCTTACTTAAGATGAAATATGCAGAAGATGGGTCAACGAAGCATACACAGCCACTTTTAGTAGCACCTGTCTGGTTTTACCTGCTCTATGCATACCAGGACTACAAATCTGGGATGGCTACGGCTGCCTATTTCTTCTGCTGTGGAGCTGTCCATCTCGGTTTGGACTCTGTTGGTGGATCTGACTGACTTCCACCCCTGTAAGAGCTGCAAAAGCCTCACTCAGTGGTGGTTGTGAGTCTTAGTTTGACTGTTCCCATGCTGCTTCTGCACTTCTTTCATTTCAGGTTAGTACAGTTAAAACCCCCAGAGAAAAGCACTGCTACAGTCTGCTTAACTGGTGTAAAGGTCTTCTAGTCCAGAAGTGGCATGTCATTTAGAAATTCGTTTGATGGTTATTTACTTCAGTAGTTTTGAAATTTACAATGTTGCTTGTTCTTTTTTTTTTTCTCATTTTTTTTGAACCCCTGTTTTATATGTGTGTGTTTCGTTTTTTTTCTCCTCTGCCTAGACCTGGTTAACCATTTCTGTGAACAGGTCCTCAATTTTTTACTTTGTCCCTACTTTCCTGTCGTAGCCCCATCTTCCCCTGGTGTCGACTCCGTACCCTTACAGCGCACAGGCAGTCAACACGGCACACAGAACGCAACCGCGACCTTCCAGAGGGCCAGCTATGCGGCCGGCCCAGCCTCCAATTACGCAGACCCCTACCGACAGCTGCAGTATTGTCCTTCTGTTGAATCACCATACAGCAAATCTGGGCCAGCCATCCCACCTGAGGGGACCTTGGCTAGGTCACCTTCCATTGATAGCATTCAGAAAGATCCCAGGTGGGTGAAACCTTCATTGTCTACTACTGTTTCTTGCTCGTGCAGAGGTTTGTAATTGTGATTTGCTTTGTGTGTTTCTGCTGTTGAATATCCAACAAACAAAAACAAACAAAAAAAAAAACCCTGACAGAACATGGAAGATTTTGTTTGCATAACAGCTTTGTCCTAATGCTTTCCCTTGGAAGGCTCTCATGAGCTCTTCTGTGAAATAAAATGATAGGTCTGCTCCAGAATATATGTGTTTAGCCTGCTTTCAGTAGCACTGCCCCTCAAAAGCTTATGAAAAGTAATTTTCTGTGAAAATGGGAGTGCTGTGACTTTTTTGACTGTAACCATTGTGGACTGAATTTTCAAGTTGCTTTTTGGGCAGAAGTTGTATGAGTTCTTGGTTTGTCTGCAGTTAATATTCATAAAAGCGTCAGAAAAGGATATTCTGGTATTGGGCAATGAGACTGAGCAAAGTGGAAGCCTGATCACATAATCGGGCTTATGCTTCACCCTGTGTGTTGTGCAGGCTTTCAATACCAGTATGTGTATATAACAGAATGTATACAATACCAGTATATGTATATAACACAATGTATATATATTACAGCTTTGCAGAAATGGTTGTTGATGTGCATGTTTTTGAAATATATAGTGCAACCTTTAGTGTTGCTGTGAGGCATGACCTTCCTTATATACCATGGGAAAGTGCAAGGAAAAAACTCCAAGCAGGCAGATTGCTTAGAGAGTTTTCTTTGACTTCCATGATAATGCATTTAGTGATTTTTTTTTTTTTTTTTTTTGTTCCATTTTCTAATAGAAAAGAAAGTGAGTGTCTTTGGTAACTTTAAATTAAACTTGTGGAAAGTATTAATTTATACAAGGCTTTCCTGTGGTAGATGGTGTGGTTTGGTGGTGGTTTGTTTTTTTTTTTGTTGTTGTTTTGTTTTTGTTTTTTGATATTTTATTTTTTTTGTTGTTGTTGTTACTTTTGCTAATTGTAATGTAGCAATAGAAGAGCCCAAAAATTTGCCCCCAGCAAAATTGCTGGAGGTGTTCAAGCAACCATTTGAAAAGACTTCTTTCCCTGCATTAAAAACACCCCAAAAACATTCACAAACCTGATCTCTCCGCTTGTTTAGCATTATAATGGTCCTTTCTGTCTCTCCAGCTGGAAACACAACAGCAGCTAAATTTTATGGCGCATCAGAAACATGCTGCTTGCAGCTCCTTATGGCATTACAGAGTTTCACTTGTTGAGAAAACTTGTCTTCAACTCCCCTCCCCGCCCTTGGCTTTTTCTTCAGAAATTTGAGAAAATATAACTTGAGTTCTTACCCTTCTTGCCCCTGCCCCAGAGCATTGGTAACCAGAGGGAAACAAGTCTTTTTTTTTCTTTTTTTTCTTTTTTTTTTTTTTTTAATGAAACCTTGGTATTTTGATAATATTGTATTCTGGAATATAAAAGCTCATACAGAAGGAGCTTTGCTTTGTAATTGTCTTGTGGTCAGACATAAAGAAAACTACATTAGGAGTGCAGTAAACAGAGGAGAAATGACTGTAATCTACATGAGATGTTTTTAGGAGAAGCATGATGATGTTGAAGGCACTATTCCCTTCAGACAGGAAAGACATGTTTACGGTATCACTACAGGTCCTAAACATAATATCCTTTTAAGGAAAGCCATCTCTATTCAGTTGCTCTGCTGTCACTTCACAAGTGTTAATGTATAGGATACGTAAAAGAAGGTTTCCTTTTGCAAATTTTTCACTTGCTTGCTTTTTGGTTCTTTCTCAATCTGTGATACCATTTGTGCATTCATGAGTATTGATTTCTGTAGGTAAACTAGCTATAACCAACCTAGGCAGACTGGTTTGTGAAACTATCCATGGCATACAACAGTTGTTGACCTTTCAACTATTGGAAAGACATTGAAAAATTGGAAGGAGTTTGGTGAAAAGCAACAAAAGCAATCAGAAGACTTCTAACATCTTGATTTCCTTGGAAAGGTTACAAAAACATGGATAAATGACAAGTGTGGAAAGGAGGTGACAGACAGATTTTCCAGGTGTTTGGAAAAATATTATGGAAAGAGAAATTACTTAGGGTAGCACATGAGAGGTATAATTAGGAAAAGGAAAACATGGCCCAAATCAAGAGAGACTTTCAGGGCTATATTAAGTTGCACTGTATTCCTTAGAGGGTTATCATTTATACCTTGCATGGCAAGAAAAAAACTAACATGTTGGTCAGCAAATGAACTTTGTCAACTGCTAAGGTTTGAGTTTCCTTACAGACCTACTGTTGCTTTGTTTGGCTGGTTGGGTGGGGTGTTTTGTGAGTGACATGAATCGTGGAAGGGAATGGCAGGCATCATTTTCAGACACTGAGCCTACCTGTTCAACCAGAGGTCCAAACAAAGGCTCACTGGCATAGGAAAATCTGCAGGACAAAAGCATCCTAATTGCAGGGGTTTGATTAGCGTTTGCGATGTCAATCAGCTGAAGATGAGAAATAGATACCCAGAAGAGAACGTCCTCATACCAATAAGTAATTAGCATGCCTAAAACTGAACATTATTTTCTGGACTCTTCATTTCAGGCGAAATTTCCATCTAAAGTTCCAGAAAATGGTTGGCAGGCACTGATGTAGTTGACAATTTTTTTCCATTGTTTTCACTATGTAGTTTGGATTGCTAATACTCCAGTTTCACATACGTGTTCTGAGCTGATATTTGGCAAATGAAATTTTAGCTCAACATCTGTTCTGCATCACCCAGCTGTCATAAAATGCAGTTTAATGTTCATTAGTTTAAAGCTTAGGACAAAAACTATTTTCATGAAGCATCCAGCCATTTTTTATCAAGTTTGCGGTAGGGGATAAATTTTAGTTTACGCATGTAGACTGTTAGTTTATATGAATTCATGTAACAGTAGTAAAAGCTATGTATATCTTTACTGGTGGAGAGTCTGAGGCTTTCTTATTTAAAAAGGAAGTAAGCCTCAACACCTGTCAGAAATGAAACTTAAGTTCTTCAGATGGAAAATGGAAAAGTTGAGTATCAAAGATAACTTACAGAATGATTCTTCAGAGCATTATTTTATGTTTAGTTCTTGTCAAAAAAGGAAGAGAAATATGCAGTAGGGCTTCAATATACACTGGTTCATGCCATAATCTCTTATGAAAAAGTGGCATAGTGAGAGAGGGGAAGACTGCAGTATCGATTTTCTAGTTACTGTCTCGCTTTTGCTTCTTACTGAACTGTGATTGAGAGAACTCATGAGTGTTTTAAAATACCCTAAAGTATCAGAAATATATGTTCATGTGATATTTTCCAGCCTTCTTTCATTTAAGAAAGATTAATTTGGCCCTTGACACCAAAAAATTATCTAAGGTTTGTCTGTTCCTAGACTTTAGGGGAACTGGGGAACCTTAGAAATTGAAATGTTGGTGTCCAATTGTCAGTCTGTCTGCCTTGCCATTTTTGCTCCAAAATATGAACCTGGCAAATACATGTAAATTACCTGATTTTTTTATTAATCACACTTGCTGCATAGCAGGTGAAAAATGTATAATTTTCACATTCTTCAGTCAAATACACATCAATCAACTTTTGCAGTAACAGTGGTTTTGCTTGTTTGTGTGTCTGGTTTGATGGGTTGAGTCAACATGTTTCCTTCATTGTTCTGTGAGTTTTCTTCTTACTTATTTTTATTTATACATTGATATACACATACCTTCTCCTGTCAACAAGCTGAGTCAACAGCAAGAATTATGTGGAATACACTCTATTAAGGCTGCCAAAATGAATTTCAGAGTTCAAATGCCCACTTTCATATTACATATTGATCTACCGTTATAATTTTCCTTTATGGCATCCCCTTTGCCAATATGTGTTTCAGAACCTTTAAAACTATTCAGGAGAAATGGGGTAATTTGGTGAATGAAGCTGTAAAGGGTTCATTATTCATTATAGAGCAGAGCACAATAATGATTTGGCTCTTATTTAAGAAAAAAGCAACCAAATCAACCCCCCACACACCAGCAGTAGAATCATAAAGCAACTTTACAAGAAAACCAAATTTTTTTGAAAGCAGGTATCTTGTAGTGGTTCTCAACTTCAGAACTGTCTAGGTATAGGTCAGCAGAGTGAAAGAGTTTTCCTGGTATTGCATGATTTAACTGTAATACCCTGAGACATCTGTGCTCTGTTCTGTGCTTTCAGAGTCAACTTTCCATTTCATTACCTCCGCTGGCCTTAATTTCCTCCTAAGCAGAAGATGATGGTGCTCTCTGTCTGTCTTCTAAACTTCTAAATTGGCTTTCTTTCCACTTATGAAAGGAAATAAATTAGATCAGAACATTTTGTGTGAGCTGTAAGTTTCAGAACTTATCTTTTTTCTTTTTTTTCCCTCCTCTTTTTTTGCTTTTTCCAAAAATAAGCTTCATTTGCAAAATACAAGCAAAAGAGCTTTCTTACTCTGTAAGAAAACTGATAGAAGTAAAATAAACTCTAGCTAAATTTCTGTGCTCCAGTAAAACTGCTTATGAGATTAGCATGCAGAATTTGGCACATAGCCTGTTAAAAGATAAATGTTTCTGCAGGATTCTTCACTGCATATTTAATCTCACTTTGTTCCAAGTATTGTCTCAGAGTTAATGGTGTTAGTCTACTGTAAATCTGTATAGCAGCCAGGCACTCCAACAGTATAACAAGGTAAGAAAATAACAGTATAAACCTGCATTTGTGGGAGGTTGGACATCTTGCTGGGAACGTGTCTGGTAGTTTCTTTGGGAAGGGTTGTTACCTTCAGAAAGAAACTCCTGGTGGGGTAGAAGGCCTTTTGTGACTACTGTACAGCTGGTGGCAATACTGTGCAGCACTGCTGTGGTCAGTCCTGGGCTGTGGGCTTTCCTTTTCAAAATCCAGAAGGCTGTTTGTTGATCTCTGGCATAACTCTGTAACCGAAGAAGTAGAACACTGAAGTTCATATTCGTGGTCTGAACAAGACAG